TACCTAGGTAGAAGAGCAGAGATGCTGCTCCTGGTAGTATCAGGGCAGAGGCTGCAGAATATCGGATTTGGTGAGCATAATAATTCTTCCTATTGGAATACTTGCGGCCGATCCTCTTTACTGAGGGTATACGAACGTTTTCGCTGCAGAAGCAGAGCTGTCAGGGGAGGGCGAGGTTGGGTTCAGTGCGGCGCCTGCCCGCTCATCACCGACTGTTGAAGCGCGCAAGCGACACCATTTGTTGGAAAAGGAGCTGGCGTCATGCCAAACCCAGCTCTCCTGACACGCTCCAGCGTCTGCAACGAAAACGACTAGGTGAGCCAGCCGGCTAGTTCTTTCACAGTTTGGATTTCAATAGGACATTCCGCGATCTCCTTATAGGTGAAATAACTCCTTTGTACAGACACATCTAAACGACAGAGGTTTCTCCACTACTCGTAGTTGAAAGAGAGTTAGAAAAAGTTCGCTGCTTGTCGTGGCAACTTTATCCAACTCCATCCAGAGGTGACCGTGCTTTCAAATCTGAGTGAGGCCACCAGCTCTAGTCACTAATGTTTCTGTTCTCCCATTCCTTGTCCCTAATATCTCGTTCGCGTCCACTACGGCTTTTCGCCATTTCTCCACCTACTCATAAGGTGCCAGAATCGACCGCAAAACAGCAGGGCCTTATTTAGGTTCCTTCGGCAGTTTCGCCTGCTCGGTGTTCGGTTTTTTCCTCGCTGGAAATCAAGTAAGACCTACAAACTCATATGTAGCCCCCTTACTACGATTACAATGTCGCACTGTGCATTTAAGAAACAGTTAAACTTGAGCGGTAGATATGCTTCATCGATGAAGCAATCTCGCTATATGGTTCAGAAAACTGCATTCCTTGCCTCTTTACAGGCCCGACGCTAATAGCCTTCTTTCTCACCCTTTCTTGAAGAGAACGAGGAAGACACTCCCTGATCTCATGCCGCTCGCTCAAACACTGGACCAAGTCCAGAGGGGTGGGTTGCAGATTTTTAAAATATATTTGTGCCATTTATACTTTTGTGTTCAGTGTCAGGTAAAAAGGATGTTCCTGTCGAGGAACATGTTGTACCTGAATGGGTATTTTGAGGCGCAGGCTACATTTACGGATATTATGCAGTTTTTGTTGTACAAGTTCAAATACTGTTTTCGTTCACATGTTTGGAACACTTATCGCAATGAATTCTCTAGTCTCGACTTCTTCTGCATGGAATTCAAAAACACAAGTATTCGTATGGAACACAAAACAGACACGAAAGAGAGAATATCAATAAACACAAAGAATCCAGTGAATCTTAGAGACAAATTGTACATTCTCCATCAAGAATGGTCCTTCTCGTGTGCTACGTGAATGGGTCCGCTGCGCAGTAACGTGCCACTTTCTCTGGTAGCGGGGCTAGAGAGTGCGTATCCGGGCCGCCATTCTCCATTCTCCGCGCCTTTCTACTCTGCCCCGGCCTATGCCGCAATGGTGGCAGCCCTTGACTAGAGAAGTTTCGTAGCAAGCAGTTCGAGGCTATAAAACAACTAGAAGAGGCGTATAAGCGTTTACTTGACTATGGTTAGGCGTGCGGCTGACTATGGCGGCAAAGCGAAAAGTGATGCAAAGCGGCACTACGGTAGGATTACACTCGCCAGTTCCATTACGTACACTTTCGAGTGAAGACTTGCACGCTCCTGCATGGCTATGGAGTCCAATTCACTCTCGGCAAAGGACCGTCTTTTCCGCGAGCGGTGACGTGTGCAGTTCCCTTTTAAGTCTGCACTCCGCAAACTGAGCAGCTTGAGCAGGCTGTAACCATAGTGATCTAACTTTGAGGTCATTCAAATTGCCACGTCCAAAACGACTGCTTCTAATCGCCAGATTTGGTTGTAATGTAGTGATGGAGGCTCGGAACGAGCAACGAAGTGCGCCATTTTGACAGTTGTTATAACGAATGGAGGCACTACTCGCACGCTGTTGTAAAAGCGACCTGCGGAGGATAAACTGCGCGAAGGTTGGTAACCAGGTGGCGGAGCACCGAAAAATTTCGGCCGTTCGCCAGCAACGCCGCCCTGATTGAAGAGACCGCAATTGAATCCGGACTCATGCTCAGAGCTTTCACTGACCCTCTCACTTCATCCTGAAAGTGAGTGACAGCAGGTCGAGTGGGTTGCAGTAGCGGTGTCATTGGAATCCACTGGTACTATGCTGAGTGCGGACCTTTTGGTAGCGACCCCGCCCTTTGGAAACCTCGTGTACTTAGAATTTTTGGAAATTTAGTTGCGTCGAAGCCAGGGGGAGCAACACCTACCTTACCACACCTGGACGGTTCAGAACAACTATTTCATCTATTGAGCGCAGAATCACTCACAGCTGGGATCATTTAGCAGTCTGTCCGACTGCCGACTCCTTACTGAAATTGCATGACTGACACACTTCGAAGATGACAGGCGTTTGCCGACATACATTTTCACAGGTACGCAATCATTTGGCGTGAAAAGCCTTAAGGCAGTCGTACTTTGCCGCTGCGGAGGAGGGTCGTATTTGGCTCGTGTGGAGAGAGGTCGGAGATGCGTGATGTGAGTTTGAGCGAATTTTGCTACGTTGCGGAAAAATTCCTGTAACATGGGTTGACTTAGCGACTTGATTTTGCTGTTTAATATGTACCTGTTGTACACCTCCCTTTCCCCCTCCCCTCTCTACCCGCTCGACGGAAATGTTTCGGGTTAGAAATTGGACTGGAAAATGTGGGAAATTGGTAGGTAGGTGTTGTGGAAGAAGGGTAGGGGGCTCGCACCTACACTATGATTATACGCATAACGATGCTGTACCCTGTTTGCTCATCGACCCATAACATAACTCGCTTAGAGTCGAACACACTTTGAGTCAGCGCAACTTTTAGGCGTTTGGGCGTTTTGAGCGTGCGCCAGCGTTATCAGCAACCAGGAAAGCATAAATATCCGTTCAGGCTTAAACGTACGGCAGACTATGCCAGCGTACGCCAGGACTCGAAACGCTCAGAACGCTGACGCAAAGTATGACCTCTGTCTCATATCTCTGGGTCATATTAGTGCATGTGAAAGACCAAAACAGAGTAAAGTCACTTTATGAGATCAGCGTCATCATCAAAGTTGTAAACATGTGAATACAATCACAGGATGTGAGAGCGTGGGCGTTAGAAGGTCCGATTAGGACCCAGTCTGATAAGACGTAATGCATAATGAAACATAAAACAACGTACATGGGGACTGTATGAACTGATTGAATGTCGAAAGTCGACTATAAAATGGATCGATAGAACAACAGTTAGGAACCCAGGTCAGATCGATGACCTAACAAGATTATTGAACAAATACAAAAATCATCAAGGATAATACATCACTATATTCATGTGTAAAACACTTAGTACTGTTAACAAATTTCGTTGAGGCAACGCATATTCAAAAGATAAGTAGCAAAGTAGAAAAACGTCGGTAAAGTATAACTATAAATATCTATCAAAACTCGGGTCAAGACAAGACGAGATGAATGAATCACGTAAAACAAGGCCCGCAACCATAGATCATGAGTATCGAACAGATGTTCGTCAATCAACTGTAACGATTTGTCACAGCCAATCGAATTAGAACAGCTACAGGGGAATTCATCGATAAAAACTTGGCCTACTTCTAACTAACTAGTACAGTTATGCACAGTATTCAGAAGAACGCATGGTAAACGAGAAATCACAGTGAAAAGAGCCGTGAGGGGACAGAGAATATGCTCTAATACCAGCAGAAATGTTGAACTTTATGCACCGGATGCTACTATAGCGCAGGTTCGTTGATTCAAGGCAACCAACGTGACCACCTACACCGTACTCATTGACTGAAGGAACTACCCATCATCCCCTCAGTCGTCATCGTCCGACAATGGTTCGAACGTCATCGCGGTGGCGATCGGTTCAGTCCCGGCTGTTCTGAGCAATTCTGCTAGTGGGGGTGCCAAAGAAGGAGGAAGAGGTGGTGGAGCCGTTGACGATGGTGCCACAGCTAGCGGAAAGTCGAAATCAAGAGCTGAGAACATTCTTGAGCCTTGAGAAGCTGAAAAAAGACATTAATTAGAATAGTCTGAATTCCTAATCGATTTCAGAGCGATTTCAAAGGCATGAAAATCATTACCATTCCCTTCTGAAGGATAAACCATTCGGGCCAACTTCATCATGGATTGCTTGAAAGGGGACCCACACACCGGCACAGTCCGTAAATGGATAGAGGCTCAGTTCAACTCTCATTCAACTGTTATCTATGTCCCTTTCGGAGGGCAAAGAGGAGCTTTTTATGACGGCTTGCATATTCATGTGCCAACCATCCACCGCCTGACTTTGACGCGTGCATCTTCGGTCGGCTCTCTCTCGTCAAAACACTCTCCGCTTCCACTGCCACGCCTCTTACTGTCCTCAGATACAAGCTTCAGTACGGCTGTATTTTTCCTTTGGAAATTGTTGCAATTTTGGATTGTTTACAAGAAAGAGCAGCTGTTTCTATGTGAGCTAGAACAGTTTCTGTGCAAGATGAGAAGCTTCAAGAATATGCTACTAAAGGATAAAAAAGGATAATATCACGCCGTGGATGAATCCCTTTGTGAGAGGCATTCCATTTCCATCATAAACATATTGGCTTATTGAATGCGATGCCGCTTATAAAATGACATGCGGGAACCAGCCGATACACAAGTCAGTGTTCTTACCCTTTCAGACGAACCCGGTACCAATTTACCTGCCCGGAGGGTAGAGCGCTTGGTTGGCCTGGGTGGGATTGACCAGGGATTCGGATTCGGGACCGCGCGAGTGGTGTGCAGCCATTTGTCACAACATCATCCCTGCCTCTGATCTACTATTAAATACTGGAAAGTATTGCACAAAAAAGCTGAACTACATTTCATACAAGAGTCATCTTACCCTCGTTTCAAAGGGAAGAAGAATTCGAAAAACAAAAGTACTGAAAGATGGAACGATATTCATTGTCCTGGTCTGAAACACTGCGCAAGAATAACGAGGATCGGAGAGATCTCGTTAGCGTTATAAATAAAAAAAACTCGGGATAACCACAGTTTTAGGTTTGATTTTTCACGAGATCGAAGTGTCCCGCCACATATTGGCAGCCGAATTTCAATAAAATTCAAAATAAGTTTTTCAAACGTACATGCAGGAGTGGCTGAAGGAGCTTCTGCGCGAGTAACTGGGCTCGTTGGAGCGCCGTCATCTGGTGAGATCGGTTCATAAGTTGGAGGGCCGCTAACTGTTGAAGTGGCAAGGAACTGTAGAGTAGGAGGAGGAGGTATAGTTGTCGATGTGGAAGTAGTTGGCTCCTGAAAACACTCCGTTTTGAATGCTTTCATTTTAAGAGAAATACGCAGTAGTATGTACCTGGAAAGCAGAAACAGAGGAGAGAACTCCTGAAGTGCTCGGTATGGCTGGAGAAGCGAGCGGCTGCACCGGAACAGAGGGAACCTTCAAGGCGATCACTTTTGAATGGCGAAGGTGTGAATACAACGAGGATAAAGCTGTGAATCACCTCTGTCTTTGGTACGCACACAACAGGTGAGGCCATTGGTTGAGTCTTATTGAGTTGAGCGGCGGCAGGGGAGCAGGCGTTGAGCGACTGTTGGAAATGAGAGTAAACATTGGACGCTGTAGATGAGGACGATGCTGATACTGACGGCGACATCTAAAAAAGGTTCAGGAGTTCCAGAAATATAAGGATAGAAGCTATGATTTAATCGATACATGTTGTGAGCTCATTTGTGGTGAACCGGTAGCGCCATGGGAAGTGTTAACGACGAGAGCACTGTACGATGGCACCCCTCCCATAATCGATCGAGCCGGCCGATTCTAAAACAGAAACAAGATTATCACGTACTGCAGGGCGTTACTGTCGCTTCCTCTTTAAACTCACCATAGGAGGTCGTTGAATCCCTACTCCTCCTGAACTCGGACTCGTAGGTCTTCTTTGAGGATGACGAGCCACAGACACCGGTGGAATATTCAGCATTTCAAGACCTGATATTATAGACTATTCATAAGCAGTTCTTTTTTAAGCAAGACCAGAATACTGTGAATTGTTAAATAGGGATGGGCAAAACAGATAATAAGATGAAAACTAAGAAAAAAGAGATCACTGTCTAGGAATCCTTACCAGATTTCCTTCGGATTTCAGGAGGTGCAATCGCCGAATGACTAGCGGCATGTGCTGCCTGAGCTGCTGCATGGCTGTTGGTAAGCTCTTCATGGACGACCTGAAAAATTCATGCTCTGACCAAATATTGAAACAAAGTAAATGAAACACCGCCTGTGACATTTCTTTTTACTGGGAGGAGGGAGGGGAGGGAGGGGAGGATAGGGGCGTGAGGCTTGTCCGGGAGTGCGAAGTGAATGCTAGGCTTCGACAGGCGAGGACCAATCACCCTGCCCATGTAGTATTGGACTTTCCGATCTCAACCACTAGCCCCAGCGTTCGAGAAAGCCAGTTCAGTGGTGCGCTTGTACAAGGAGAGGTTTTTGATTGGAAATATTTTAAGCAAGGTAATACCACAAATAATTGCTCCTTTAGAAATAAGTGATTCAGGGACATCAGGGAAGAGAATTCAGTTGTGACCATACTAGTGGCCTCCATTTGTGTTATTGGAATTACAAAAGGCCGTGAGTACCAGATATTCCGAAAGAGAGAAACTGTGCAGTTTGGCGGAGGGAGGGAGGAGGGGGCATTTTGCTTTTCTGCTACTTCCCATCGGTATACCAACCCACTTTTCTTGAGTTGACAGGTTTTACCATGGTGGCTCGACAAGCTTGCTCCAGCTTCACAAGGGTTCACAGGTTTCACCAGATTGAGGCTGATAAACGGAACAATGAAGCAGCGGAAGTGCAAAATGCCCCCACCTTTCGCTCTCCCCCCGTCACGTCGCCGAACTAGCACAATCAACATTTTTGGCTGATGATGTATGAGGAAATAAAAATCCTACTCTATCCATTACATTGTTGAAAGATCTCTTGTTATCGTTCCATTGAGCAGTGTCTCTGTCCTTATTCGACGACGTACCGGGCCACGGAGAGTGAGCAGTTGTTGGCTGAAGAGAAAGGATGAAGCTCAAGCAAATAAAGCAAAAAAAAGGAAAAATAAAAGGATATGGTGAAAGATTCACGGGTTTTGAGTCAGCCGTTGGTTGACGAATGCCGATGCCGAGATTCTTGTGTTGTTGTTGCTGCATTTGCAGATGGAACTGTTGAGCTTGAGCTTGGGCTGCTAACGATAACGTTGTTGGTGGTGGCTGAAAACAGTTGAATAATGGGGGCATTTGATTCACTCGAGCTCGACGATTACCTGTGGCGCCTTAACAGCTTGCTGCTGTTGTTGCTGCTGTTGCTGCGATTGAGCGAATCTTTCACCACCCTTTACTGAGGCCGCCAGACCACAAACAATAACACCACTTGTACTGCCACTATTCAACAGCATTCGTTTTGTCTCATAAGTAGCTCACGACTGAAATGATTTCAAAGGAATCGACTTAAAATGATGAATGAAACCACAGTAAAGTTGAAGCAGCATACTTCTCACGCAAATTATCGGCTTCTTTTGGACGTGAGCCCGAATGTTCAACAACACGCATATTGTCCTGTGCCTAAATTCATTCGATTTCCACATAATTCCTTTTTAACGTATTCGAATGACAACGAGCTGGCTCTCCAGTCTATTAGTTACACCATACCTCTTTGAGTTCCTGCTTGCTTGAAAGTCCTGCATGGTTGAATTTATTCGGAAAGCAGATGTGATCATTTGCTCAGCTTGCTGAATGAATAGTCCATTCAAAAAAGTTTTTTTACAATTCAAATAGTTTGTACTACTTATAGAACTAGCTGTTGTAGGCGCGGTTGCTCGCTAGTCTCTAATGGTAGAGAGAGCTGATAAGGAGGAGCTGGCACGAACAAGTGAGAACTCGTACGACCACACCCTTCCTTCGCCTATGCTTGTACAATCTCACTTCGGCCCTATAAGTGCATTTTCCTACCACAAGAATGCTGAGTTGTGAGCAAAGGTCGTGCCCCAGGCGGAGTCTAACCCACACCTCAAGCTTTCCGTACGAGTCGCGCTATCCGTTACGCCACCAGGGCCGCTTCACTCTTTCAGCTCAACGGCTTTTATGCCGCAGCCTATCAGGACTCACACGTTTAACTCGTTTAATCACGGCTTTTTCCCATGATTTTTTTGGTTTTTTTCTTCACTACTGAATCACATGCTACCCTTTGTTACTAATACCTTAGCCCCATTACTCATAATTTTTGAATACTGGTCTTTGCCTTGGATGAAAACAACATTTCTAGTAAGTCAGAAGGGGCGGATCAAAGCTCTCATGACATTGCCTCCGAAAGGTCGTCGAGTACCGTTAGTTATTGAGTACCTTAGGTTCTTTATTTTCAGGTTCTTTATTTTCAACCTTGAGATTGAGTACTATGAAGCGCATTTCAGATTATTACAACCAAGGTACGTTATTTGCTGGGGAAAATTTTTGCAGGATCTCGATCCCCCCCTCAGTCCCCCGAACATGCTACCCTGGTACGAACCACCCTCCCCCTTCTCGTAGACCTAACAACTACCAAATTCAACTAGCAAAGACGTTGTACATACTTTGTGGCTGCGCTATGAACTAGTGCGCCCGGGGATATTTGAGCCCGAATACGTCCCCTTCCCCACGACCAAACACGGCTCTCTCTCTTCCCCCCCCACTAAGGATTAATCCGCATACAACGTGCCCTGATTACAACCATAACATCAAGAGTGTGTCTCAGGTGGATGTGCTTCAAGATCTCAGAGTAGGCACAACTGACTCATAAGGACGAATTACGATCACTTGATGTACAGATGCAGGACACAAGCTCTACTACAAAATCCCGAAAAAAAAAAACTTGTGAGATGAGAATCGGCTGTATAAATTAAAAGTTGGTATGAAAACTAACGATTTTCTTCTTCTGGTATGTTCGCTCCTCTTCCTCCAGCCGTCGCACCTGCTTCTCCATGCCCCGGATATCTTCGTCGATCTAAAAGAGGAAGATGACTAACATTTTTCGTGGAGCATCATAGGTTCCACTACCTTCTCAATTTCTTCCCTCAGACGTTGTTCATCGTCCAGTAATACAGAGTGTCATGAGTTCTCATTACCATTGGGGAGGCGCCAAGGACATCGAGGCCACAACTGCTGCTGATCCACTGCCGGATTCAAAGCGTCAAGCTGATTCTGTAGTTGGGTCCTTTGTAGCCGATGGTTTCTGCGCCATCGTTTGAAGCTGCAAAAGACATAGCTATAAGCGCTATATGTATAGAATTTCATGGATACAACGAACAGAAACTTAACTCGAGCATTTGGCTGATTGCTGCTATAACTCAACAAAAGCTGTTGACGTTGCAACTGAGTCAAGGAAGCAGTTTGCAAAGACTGGTTAATTTCTCCCACTCGATGCTGAGAGAAGAACAACTTGTAAAAAAAACGCGAGTAATGAATGAAACAAAGGCCCTTACCACCATAGCTATCGTGTTTTTGTCGATGTTCGCAGCGGTGATGTCATGGTGTTTTGATTTGCTCCTGCAGCTGCTTCCTTGCAGCTTCAATTTGCCGCTGTTTTTCTTGTTGAAGCCTATAAATCGAACTTAATGTATGTGGAAGAAACTCGTTCTTTGAATTCTGTAGCATTTCGTCGAATGGAGACCTACCTTGCTCTTGCCGTTTGCTGCTCAAGCTGACGCGCCTCCAATTGTTTCGCCTGAATCTGTCCCTGAATAGAGTATTCGACCAAAATTCAAAGAAATTTTGAATTTTCATGGGATTTGTTAGTATGGAGGGAAGCTCAATAGGTCACAACGGCATCCCTTGAGGGGGCGTAGTGCACGTGAAAATCCTAGCTTTTGAAATCGAAATAAGAAGTGGACCCCTGTCATCGCCCCGAAAACCATCCAGATCTACCACACAGAGCACGTCGTATCTTCAGGAATTCCAAGTGAGGGGGGGGCAGTTGTACTTGCATATGTGGGCTTTTTCCGCATCGAGAAAACTATTGCGTGTGTTTCGCGCATTTTTCCTTTTCACGTATGCTATATACTCCTCTCCTCCCCCCCCCCCCTCTGCTCGATTGTGAAATCGGGGGAAAAGTTGGAGTTGGGAAAAAATTGGTTGACGAAATGTTTGAGGCAGGGAGCGTAACTTTCGAAAGTTCCCACAGGTGCCAGAACGTCCTTGTTGCTACCATCAAAGAAGGACTAGGGCGAAGAATCCACAATAGAGAGAAAATTAGAAACGAAATCGCTGCTAACGTTGGAGCACCACAAAACCGAATTTAGAACTATTCACCCCTGATGCCTCGCTCCGTGAGCCTCAAGCCACACTCCAATCACAGTCATATTTTTGAGACTCAAAAATTGTCTGACCCTTGAGCATGGTCCTCCGCTCCAAGCGACAGTGCTTGCTGGCGACGAACAGGCGCCAGCGTCGCATATAGTTTGCCGCAAAGCTTGTAGCGGACGTACCCTTGAAAGACGAGTAGATATGGTACTAGCACTCGGGCCTCGGGCATTTCGGCGGCGTCGGTAGCAGAACGAGCGCTTTTTAGAGAAGTTAGGCTTGATACTCGGCTTAGGGGAGTCTGCAAATCATACCTTGAGACGGAATTCGAGCCAAATCCCTGCCCGTGGGAAAACTTCGATGGAATTTGGCTGGATTTTGGAAGATTAATGTGATGAAGGGTGAGTGGAACGGATTTTTCTTCGCGATCTAAGCGAACAGTGTTTAAGCGCTCCTCCTGAAACAACGGTAAAAGAACCGCGATCATTTCAGCACTCCACAGCGGTGCAGTTAATTATGGTGTGACTAGAAACTGGCCAAAGAGCCGTGGAGTGGACGTGGGCACTACCACTAGGGTGAGCTACTTCTCCAGATGCAATGTATAAACGTGTCCGTAGCTAAAATTAGGCCGGAGACGCGGCTTTTTGATGAACTGGACAGGACCTCCACCGTAAGCACTACGATAAAACGAGACTTCACAGAATATGTGGAAAGAGCAGCTAAGGGGGGGGGGGTGGGTGTGGAGGGGAGAATTTTCGAAAAGGTAGAAGTTTAAAGAATACATGAAGTAGTTCTGTGCACGGATGCAATACATACCAGCATTGCTGCATGCTGCTGTCGCATCTGTAATGGTGGCCGTTTGCTTCTTGTGTTGAAGGACGAATTCTTATCACACATCGAGTCGCTAGATCTACGGTCGATAAATTCGATTGAGGTCTGAGCACATTTTTTTTTAGGAGAAATCACTACCGCTGATTTATTTTTCTTGCTTTTGTCCTTTTTTTGCACATACACGAAAGTCTTTTCGATGGAAGGAAAGGAGACAATTCCTTACGCACCTGCTTCTGATAACTGTGATATGTCAGGTACAACTGATCCATTGAAGGTTGTTGCTGAACAAGCTGCTGATGATACTGAATATTGAAATTACCTTCTCATGGCAGAATACAAAAAACAAAGCACAGTTCGGTGACGGGGGAGGGGCATTTTGCACTTTTGCTATTTCCCATCGACGTTTCGACCCATCTAGACAGCGTCTTCTCAAATTGACAGGTTTTACCACAATGGCTTGACGAGCTTCCTCCAGCTTCACTACAGTTCACAGGTTCCACCGAAGTGAGACTTGTAAACCAGAACAGGTGAAGCAGCGAAAGTGCAAAATGCCCCCACCCGTCGCCGATCTGCGCCCAAAAACAATGAAAATACGGCAGCACTTCGCAGGAAAAGAAAAACATTCAACATCACAGCAGCTCCAAAATCGTTCCCAGACAATGGAAAGCTAAAAGTCACATAAACTTCAACAACCATTACCTGCTGATAGTTCCGCTGTTGTTGCTGATACTGCTCCAAGATAGCACGAGTTCGGCTCTGAAAGTTGGGATAGTGCACTTGTAATGCGACTCTTTGAATGAAGACTACAGTGATAACTCACCTCATCACCTCCGAATAACTGATGAATCTGCATAAGAGTATTCTGATCGAGCCCGCTGAGCATTGACTGGTTCGCCTGTAAAAAGCGTACTAATATGGCGCGGCATGTCAGCCAAAGTACACGTCAGCATTCCCATGGGAATGTTTGCTACACATTCTCAAAGCACCTTACGTAACATCGAATCCTTGACCATCACTTTAAAGACGTTTAATCTATTCCGCCTTTGTCGCTGTTTCATTAAAGGCATACGGCACGATAATTTGGTACTCGCTCTAAGTGCTATATAGGGGGGGGGAGGCAAAAGGCAAAAAAAAAGAAGTGAAACGGTCAAAAACCTTCGAAGAAAAGCCTTCGTTCTATACGATTCAAAAAGCAATTTCGGACGTGTTTCCCTTAGGCTCTCGCCAATAATCGCTACGGTAGATCCGGCTGCAATTATGTACCCATACATGCATGCAGCACAGCGGCCGCTCCATGTCAATCCTTTCGCTTCCTATTTTATTTCACATATGGAGCAGTACGATATCAGGTACGGTCTCTACCAGGTACGGTCGTCTATTTGTGGGCGGGCGCGGTGGGCGTTCAGACTAGTATGTTGTAGCTCAATGGGATCTTATAAAGGTCACCTCCTTGTGAAAGGTGCTTCTTGTAAAACGCACAGCGCCTGCTTAGCGGCGCGGAATGCCATCCTGTCAGACGTATTAATCCTATTCTTCTTAGGACCTTACCATGCCAACTGCCTTTAAAGACAGTCCCCAAGCTCAGACAATTCGTAGGGATCCTTCTTTGCACGAGTAGTATGGTTCTTATTCGCCAGGCCTACCCCATTTTCGCGGCTTCACAGTAGGTAAAGAAGGCGCTGTGGCCCTCACAAGGGGCAATTCTGAAGCCTGCCTAGTTGTCCCCCACACCAAACTCAAGGGCTATTTTCTGTCACGAGCTCAATTTCTACACCACATTTTCTTTTGTTCCACAGTTAGATGTTATTGACAACGGCGTGGAGAAACGATTAGTGCGTTAGAAGCTGCAGGATATTACTTTGCTAACGGGCAGGTTCTGAGAACTCGTCCACAGAGGTTGCCAAGCCCTTACCTAGGGTGTTCATGATGTTTGCTTTTATCTTTAATCTTGTCATTCTTTCTTGGAGAGTCATTTGGTGACTACGAATTGTGACTGCACGCCACTATCCACAACATAAAATCGCGGGTTGGTCATTAAGAGGGGGAGATCAAGGCATAGCTTAATGCGAAACCCACAAAAGGACAGTACGTATTGTCAACATTTATCGACTGGCATCGAATCCAGCACCCACTTCATAACATTGCACCCTCTTATCCTGGAGATTTGACCCCTCTCCCACGGCGACTCTTGTGCGTGATTGGAAGTTACAATATTTGAATGGAAGGTTTTCAAAGAAAATACAAAGGGCAGTGAGAAGAATGGAAGAATAATCAGCTGAGAAGTTAACATCGAACAAAGTAGAGGGTGGCATTAAACTTGGGCGCACATAATTTCACACTTTCGCATCAAATAAGTTACCGATCGCATCATAAAATTATGAACTATTCTAAAAATATGGTGCTTTCAACAGGCAGTTCTTTTTATAAAATCGCTGTTCTGCCATCCACAATATAGGTTCTTGTCCTTCTATAGCAGCCCCTTTGATGGGCAAGGTGCTTGTTTTCTGGGTTTCAATTAACTGAAGTTTTCTGCCGATTTCCAATTCATGCATTTGATGAAGTGTTTCTCCTCTCGCGGGACTCCTATAGTAAATGCGAAATAGATACTAATTTCAAAAATATTCAATTCTGACCGTCAAAGGTCAAGACGGTGGAGCCGACGTTATACACTTGTTTAAACGTAGTTGGCACTAGAAATCCCTAAGGACCAATAGGACTAATACGGCTGGCAGATCTGAATTCAACGCCCCTGCTCCAGCGCTGCATAGCGCCTTTTGCAAAGTAGGTACCCCTATAAAGCCCTATCAGCCGAAGCTGCAACATACCAATCCGGACGCCCACCGCGCCCGCCCGCCCACAAATGGACGACCGCATCTGACGCTCGTATTGCTTCATTTGCGAAGTAAATATGAAGCAAAACGATTGATATGAAATGGCCGCGCTGCTACATGGATATATCAGTACATAGGTGCAGAAGTACCTACCGTAGCGGTTATTGGCACGATGCCCGCAGGGAACTCGTTCGAAATTACTTGCTAAAGCATGAAGAATGAAGGCTTTTCTGCGCATGTTTTTGACCGCTTCACCTCGTTTTTCGCCATTTCCTCCCTATATGGCACCCTGCTAGTTTTAGACTGTGTACCAAATTATCGTGCCTTTTGCTTTTAAGCAATGGTTATTCCACTGCTGAGGAGACAAAGATCTTGCTTAGCTTACACGGAATTCGATCCAGAGATCGCGTTTGACAGCCCTTCTTCCCACCTTCTCCCATAAAAAGAAGTGGACAGCTCACTGAGTAAACTAGGGCATCCAATATATCAAGTTTGGACTTCGGTCGCGACGCAACAGGCTTCATACACGCCGTGTTTTCAGTCTAGAGTGAGGGGGGGGGGGGGGCGTTCTAGACAACTGGTACAGCCGAAGCAAACAATTATATATATACAATGACGATATAAGAATTAATGGTATGGCTGAAAACAAAAATTTCAGCGGATTCTCATTGTAATGTTCTTTATAGTTTCACAGAGCAGTTACACTACTGTGGTGTGTAATTCGATCACATGTGGTTGCCATGTCGTAATATCACGAAAAATATTTCTAAAAACCGGCACAATTTCTCCATTACACTAAAGGAGCTGTGGAATGTGCATTATTTCACAGGTTACTACATTTTTTACTTATGGACGAGCCGGTTTGGTTCGTTACTTGATAGAGGTGGTCGCCACTTGATGAAGGCCATTTCCTTGTTAACAGCGGAAAATTGTGAGCAACGGCACTGTCAAACCTCATTGATTAATCAGATATCAAAATCTTAGATGCCATTTTGCACAAAAAATCGCTACTTCGCTCAATGCGATAACCACTAGTTTAATGGTATGTGTACATCGCCACAATGAATCCGAAACGGGCTTGTAAGGCCTTATTCACCAGATGGCGAGGCGTGTCAGCGCGGATGCGTTTGGCGCAGGGCCAAGTCCCTCTTCTCCTACGGCAAGCGTCAAAACTGTTTCACCGTCTGTATCACTCGCTTCCCACCAGCGTTTGTCGCTTACCTATTTCAACAACTGGTGGAGAAGGGGTGGCGGCGCAGTAAACGCAGCTGTGACGACACGCCGGCATCATGCGCAGCCATCAAGACGATAACCCATTCTCAGGACCCTTATAACACTCGCAACAGACGTTTATAACGACTATCGTCACATTTTTCCACGCACCGAAAAGTCGCTATTTTTAGAAACCGAAGTGGATTACATCTCTAAAGAGGACAGATCCACGCCATATAATCATTCTGAGCTTTACGTTTGTCTACGAAATCGAGAGGATTAAGGCGAATAATACTTTCCCATTACGTAACAGCTAACAGCGCTCTTCCCTTTACGTGAGTGTAATCGTGAAAAAAAAATCGCCAAACCTTCGACTCACTTGCCGCAATTGATCTACTAGGTCTGTATCTAACAGGAAACCGCGTGAAACCTACCGTTCCACACAATAATTATTTCTTTTTATTCTTAAACAAGTATCTCATTAGGAGGGTTCGTTGGATGGGATTCATTGACAATTCGTCCATTTTGGTGGCCATCATGACTAGGACATGGACATATCTGAGCGGATGGAGGGAAAGAAGATGGTGAAGACGTCTCATATCTCAACGGACGAGAAAGTATGCGTGCGAATAAGTTGACGCATATGTTCCTGACTGAGGAATAAATTTTTCCCATTTCACGACTGCGACTCTGTACGACTTTTGACAGCCATCGAGCTTACGCGTCAGATGTGATAAAGGAGAACGAGAAAACAGCAAAAGGAAGCACGTGCGAGCTTGAGTTGTTGAAAAAAAATAGGAGGATCAGGTTTTAAATGAGTCAGGACTTGCAGCGAAAAATTCGCTACCCTGAAAGAGAACCCAAACAGCAACTGATATCAGCAAAAGAAAAAGGCTTCCGCTGGAAGCAAGCTTGGAGAACATAGGCATGAATCGTGCCTTGTCTTTGCGGATTAAACACAGTGTAATCATGAAAAAGTAAACATACACTTACTGAGGGTTGCGATGTCACCGCTGTTTGTGATGCATTCGCAGGAAGCTGTGAAACAGATGGTGGCTGCTCAATGATTGAAACAGACGGAGGACGAAATGGTGTGCCAGCAGTTATTGAACCTTTCACTAATCCCGAGGAAATAGACGACTGTTCCACTAACGGTTGAGTTTCTTCTTTTGGCTTAACCTAAAATAAACACAGTTACAGATCCACTCCCTATCGTGACACTTTTCGGTAAAAATAATTCCTCTTTAGAACAAAATGGCAAGCAATCGCCTGCGTGCATGTTCTGTCTCAGCGACCTTACTTAACATTGAGCGCACTTGATATGGTTTATGCCACAATCATCCCTGGTTAGCCGCTTCATGTATGTAGGGCGCGCGGCGTTGGGTCTGAGACGGCCAGCTACTAGCGCTGCGGTACAGTCGTTCCAGTAGGGCCATTTATCTGCAACCGGGAGCCAAGGGTTTGAGCTTTCCAGCGCCCCGTCCACATTCAGAACGTAAATTCAACAGAAAAAGGCAAAGAAGCCAGCGAAACTGCGAAATGCTGCCTCCCATCTAGGGACGCGCGCCGAATTTAACCCTTTCCTAATTAAACTCAGACGGTACTAGTGGAAGCTTTAGCAGCGTAACTAACTTGAAGCCCAATTAGTCTTTACTCAATAGTGGATGTAAAATATCCTTCTTCGCTCGTTACTTGATATTAACCATAATTATTCGCGAAATTCTTGGAACGACTGAAGACAGCAGCCTGCAGGTAACTGCGAATGTTTGGCAGCAAAATTATGATGACATCTAAGAGACGCGGCTAGATCCGGTTCTAGAGATTACTGCGATTATCCTTCGACATATTGTCAAATCATAACAAGCTACGTAGCCCTTAGGTCATCTGCCAACATCGTGCTGTGGTGTAGGCATCGAAAAATCAACAACTGCCATGAAAACTTGCACGACTCACATCTAATGCAGCGAGGTCGAAAACGGTAGCGTTTGAGGTCGTTGGGACTTCGGTTATATCTACATCCAAGTCGCCATCTTGAACTGTAACTACGGATGATTCTGGGACATCTTGTGTGTCCTCCTCCATGACGATATCATCTTTCATGACGATCACTGCAAAATAACGCGATTGCAATAAATTGATGAGAGCCATAGAAAACAGCCGCAATGTAGTAAAGGCACATGGCACGGAACACGTAAAAACAAAAATGTGCAGTCAACGAATGAACCTCCAATGGATTCCAATCAAAAACTCGCGAATTGAGGAAAAAATTTCTATGAGCGGTAATATCCCATAACTAGAGAGCTTGAAAGTGGCTGAGGAAGAGAACACCAGAATGGTGCGTCGCTAACTTTTTTTCCTTTCTCTTCTTTGGCGGTTGTCCGCAGTTATAGCCATCTAGGCGCTTCCCCAAATGTTTAATCATTCGTTCAATCACATAGCCTTTTTTAAAACCGATTTCTAGTGTCAGTTGAGTGTCTAGAACTTCCTGTTTCTTCTATTATTTGGGAATAGTGACGACTGACGTACATTGAAATAAAATAAATAGATATATAAATAAACTACCGAACTAGTTCAGTCTTTCAACGTACCATTTGTAGTTGTCAGTATCTTCTTCAAAATCTTCTTCTTCCTCCTCCTCTTTCTTGAACAATGCTTCATACTGTAACCGACAGTCGTCCGCTGTTCTTCCTTGCATCTGCTCCGAAATCGTACTCCAGTCAGTGCCAAACTGAGAGACGAGGTTTTGAAGACGAGATATCTAAAAATGTCAACTAACTAGAGGAGACAAGCAGATTTTAGCCATGATTTCTATTTAATTTACAATAGTTGCGGCCTGGAATAAAAGGGATCAATCTAAAAAAAATTAGTGGCAAGTGATGATAAATGAAACTCTGCGCGCCCTCAGCCATTCAAATGAAGACCAGATGAAGAATGACAGATACTAAAGAAAGGATAATCACGATGGATCTTAAATAGTAAATCTTAGAGAATACGAAAAAATTGTCTTATCCACGGGGTTGGGAAGCCGCCTATTCGGTGCCCTTCATGCACTCAAAGGGACTCCCCACGTCCTGGTGTAGGTGTCTGCACCGATGACTTAGAAGCTGCTTAATGACCACTTTTAAGCAACCTGCAGAACACTATGCGTTCAAAGCCTAAGGGCAGCTTATACACTAGATAAGAGAGCACTTATTCGTCTAATGAAACAAAGAACTAATCTCAGCGAACCACTAATCATTATCTTTATTATTATTATTGCATCTATTATGAGGGATTAATATTCTTCTTGTAACACAGTTGCCATTATGATTAAGCAACTGAAATAGGCCTACACTTATCGCTGACACTTAGTGTTCGAATCCGGCACTTAATATCTGAAGCGCACGCAAAAAAAGCTCGCAGGAAGGTCGCCAGGTCGAAATGGCCATTTAAAGGAAGACTCAGATCACCGGACGGGTTCTTGGACCCTGATCCGATATAATCGAAACTTGAGAACGATAGTGTGAACGGCGTTATGGTGCTTTTACCTGCGCGTCTACCAAGCAACAAATCATGGGATCGGATCTCTGCTAGGCTTGAGTTTTTTAAGATTATTGCAAAAAGTAATTGTAGCGTCATTACTGCATCAGTGCTCACCCGAGTTTGTTTAAAAAAAGAGTTCTCGCGCCGTTCCTGCTACGCTTGAACGAATTGTGATCCAGAAGAAGATTTGTGTTCGCAGGTGCCCGTGGCGATAAAGGCGTGTTTGCGCGAGCGCCATATGCGTGTTTTTTTTGGTCAAACTACCCCGGTTTACAAGTTTTTAACCAAATCAGGCATTTTGACGTGACTTCGGAAAGTGGAGCATCCATGGGGTGCAGTTCAGTTCAGGTCCACGCCATTCAGCTATGTCGTTTCTGACGTCCTGTAGGATTACCCAGATTACTAACTGGATTCGTGAAGTGTGATCATATCAACACTTGCGTTTTCTAAACTCAAAAGAAACATTCCTAATGCAATGCAAAAACTTGTCTCCCTCAAAACTGGAACCTTCACCTAACGCCTGAGAAGCAAGACTCTTACCACTATACCATACTGCCGTTTGTGCGAAATGCGCTTCGCGGCTATTGATGCAAACTGACCGGCAACCGCACTTACTCCCTGTCCCTTCATTTAACAAACCTTCATAATTCCGTTCGGAGAATCGTTCTGCAGATTTGAGATCAGCGTCAAACAGCATGTCCTATTGTCTGTTCTCACTACAAATGGACACTTCGACCTGGCAGCTCCCTAGTTAGCCGCAACGGATACTGCGCAACTACAGAATTTGCCGAACAAGTCATCCAGAAATGCACAATACCATCTCTATATATTTGTAAGCCTTTTCTTGGAAAAGCGGGGGTCACTTGAGGTCGGATCGCCTAAGGGACGAACACCCGCCCTCTTGCAATAACAAAAAGCTAGTATGCCAAAAAAATAGATGTGTAGCGAATGGATTATCTTAAACTCGAATGTAACTCACCTCTCCACTCTGCCACGTCTGATGACTTTCCATCTCGAACTTGGCCATCTCGCTCTCAAGGTCTCCAGCGAATAACTAGAAAAAGAGTGACTATTTAGTACGACGTCAGTTACATGATAATCAAAACCAACAATATCTCAGGAACAATCTTGGCATACACTTGATATCCCAGATGCTGGGAGGGCGTGGCAGCGTACTTCATTTGGACATACATGACGCAGGATGCACTTTTCCTACTATACTGTTTCCTGCTAGACAAATGCATGATTACAACAGCAGCACAACGGCAATGCACCACAAAAAGCTCAGCCGCCACCACGTCTATGTGCAGTAATAAGCCACGCTCTCCCCATCTCCAGGATACGGAGTGTGGGTTCAATAAAAGACCAACGTGCAGTAATGCAATTTTTGAGATGACTGAATAGCTATTAGTTGTTCGAATCGTTCTGTGGAGATGAACAAGCTTTGTATACCGAGCTCACCATATCGAGTTTCTTTGAGATCCGTTTGAAGCATGGTCCGCAACATTTAACTATTTCACGGGGAATGGATAGGTGAACAAGCATGAAAGAACGTTGTCGATCATCCATTTGACGCCATTTCGCAGGCATCGCTTTGGTCGCTTTGACTTTGCGTTTACCCGACGCACACACTTTCACCATACATCGCCTGTGAGTACCGTGGAATTCGATGATATTTTAACAAGGGTTTTAACATTAACCTACCCGCTATTCCTGATTTTCAGAACCTCATCCTTGCATTTCGTACAGATTTTGCAGTCCGCGCCTTGTTTCCTGGCATCGATTCCTGTGTATGAGATAATTACTCCTTTTTTTTACAAAAGTTTCACTAAGATACGTGGAGGGTCATGAATTATGTTAGTATGCGGGTCTTTTCAAAATATGCTGGTTGCCGAACGTTCAGTATTTTTTAGGGAGGGGTTTAGCCAGAAACTAAGTCAGCAGCATCTTCCGTCTGGAGCGAGTTTTCGTCGCATACTTACTTTGGGATAGTTTCAACGAGAGGGAGAAGGGGTGGGTCCACAAAAAAAATGTAACTTTTGTGATTGCAGTAGACATTGCTGATCAAGAGTTGTGTAGAAAAACGCTGAAATTCCATCAAAACATGATCACCATCTTCATCAAAACTGCGTTCATACTTTGTAAGTCGGGAGAATCGACGTTCTTGAAGAATACGTAGAAAGGAAAGCACAGGTATCAGTCTAGTATTCCGAAAGAAACGATGTTTTTCGGCATTCTGAGCGCTGCATATGCCTGCGCTGTTTTTGCCAGTAACAGATTCTCCATGATACTCTCTCAATACACCTGATACTTACATTTTCCTTTCCAAGTATTTTCTCAAGAATGCCGATTCTCCTTGAACGCCGTTTCTTAAGTATGCAGAAGCCTACAGCCCCCACTGCATTTTCTGATTTTTTCAGAAGCAATGCTCGCGACCGCAACTTGCAGATGGTGGAGTTCAAAGACGGGAGAAGTCCGGGATCTAGCTGACTCATTAATGAAGAGAAAGCGTTGGAAACCGCCCTCATCAAGCTACTCTTCTGGATCGTGTTAATGTTTTGAATCAGTAATCGGAGGGCTCTAATTCGAGCCTGTTGCGCATTTTTCTATTTTTTCTGAATTTAGCTAGAACTGAAGCATGGAACATTCATCAGGGTTGGACTGCAGATTTTTCAAGTGAGCGATCTGTGGCACAACCATGTAATTGTATCAATTAATGTTAGCCACCATGTAATTGTATCAGTTAATTGTTTGCATTACTAAATGGCAACCAACTCTCAGCGAGTGCCCATAATGGCCGCGAAAATTACGGATCGTTTGAAACGATGGGATCCCATCAAATATTCCACAAGCACTCTATCTGGTGTGATTTCAGACATCGAATGCGTTGAACTGCGACACCAGCTGGTGATTCTCGCAATTTATTTTGCACAGCTCAGAGGCATCAAAATCAATTGCGTCACAGCTACGTCCTATACTGCTTATTCGACGGCTTTATCTCCAAAAATTCGACTATTGATACTTGCTTTACGGTATTAGGTTTTGAGGTTTTCCTCATGAATGAATACTTCTATCAGAAGCGCTAGATAACGAACATGACTTATGCTACCCATTTGGGCGCGATTGCACTCTCGGATGTCCTCAACCAGGGCACCCGCCAATCGATAAAAATTTTGAAAATTAAGACCCCCTGGAAGTTTTTCTCTGCCTCCTCCTTTTATGATCACCATTCTCCCTCAATTCTGCCAACTACCACCTTTCCGGAACTCTCCGAAAGTTGTCGGACCTCTCAAAAAACTAAAATTGATAACGGAGTATACAGCTTACATGGAACGAGAAAGACAGAAAAGTTCATCAACCAAAAGCATTCTTCTCAAACGCTAGTACGACCCCTCCGGCCACCAGCGACAAATACGATCCGTTCGCTGAGGATTCTAACTGTACGACATGCCCTGCCCCGAACTACTATCGCGCTCTATACTGTCGTACTGAAGCAGCTCTTCATCTTTGATATCAGCATTAACACAATACCTGTGATCAAGTCTTACGTGTAGTGGGCACACAATCATAACCAGTAGCCCAGAAGTTACTCCCCAGTGGAGAGGAGGCAAAAAAAACTCCTCGGAACACATCTGTACAGAAAGCCCTTGGGTGGGCGCCTTGGACGAGTTTGTCGGAGTCGGCAAGCCCATCATCAGATCCCAGCAGCGTGCGGAGGAAATATTCCTAAGAAGCTCGGGCAACGCTATGTCACGCGCAATTCGCTTGTAAGCCGTTGTCGTGGAGAGTGAAAGTAATCGTGCTGCAATGGTGTAACATTCACGCGTCTCTAGCTTTTTTATCTCGCCGTTTTAAGTGACGAAAGTGGTATATTCTTTGCGAATGGGCCGACGATGCTAAATGCCACGGAGGTGTTTCGCGAACACTTGTTCGCAGGAACGGTCTTCAAAAAATCCGATAGTTCCATTTGACATCTTTTCGAAAATTTTCAAGAGTTTTATCTCTTTATCGTAAACAACATTTCACAAAAATTTGATAGTTTTCTTCTTTGATATTGGTTAACCGTATGACACAGAAAGGGCTCTTCACCCGAAATGAGCAGAACCTATTTATAAGCCTTTGTTCAGTTTCAACTCAACCTGCGGAAACGTTTTTCCGCCTACGCCTTGCTCTTTTGCAACTTCTTGGACCATGTTTCTTGAACGACTCTTATCAATATCTGGAACGAATACCTACACTTTTTTAAGTCGTTATTTGAAACAAGAAACAATTTTTGCAGATGAAATGAAGCGTATACATTTTTGCTTCGACTCAAGATGAGAAAAAGGATCTACAACTTCGTCAATAAAACGAAGATAAACATTGCTTAAAGCCTCGTGAAATTTAAAGAAGCGCCCCGTCAACAAGTAAAGCATTAATCAAAAAAGTAAAAAAAAGCGTGGCAAGGACGTAGAATAAGACCTGTTCGATCGGACGCCTGAAGGGTTTCGCAGATTTTCAGTGAATTCTCCAAACCGTCGCCGCTTCGCTGCGGCTAATCTCATGAGGCACTACCTATGTTGTTTTAAAAGATAAGCTATCCAATCTATCTCATCTTATCTGATCCTATCTATGAGTTAATCCCTCTATCAGGTGCGAAAAAGGATGCTAGAAATTCAGCGATTATCAGTGCCAGCGAGGATTGATAAGGGAAAACCAAACGAGGCGGGATTAACACGACAGGCGGAGTCAGCTTATCATTGTTCTCTCTGCCTTCGTCTATCAATCGATTTCGAGTCCCAGGAGTGGGATATCCTCTGTGATTGCAGACTCCGCGATCTTGTACAGTACAGGGTTTCTTCACCTTGGTTGGTCGCGGACGCTGTCTTTAAGATGGCAGATAGATATGGAAGACTTTTCCTAGTTCTTTTTTTTCTACGTTTTTATCAGACCAGCAATTTAGGCACAATGTTGAGCAAAACTTTTTTTATACTCGACACTCACAATGCCTCTTGCGGAGAGGTCTATAACTATGGAGCTTCTACATATTCCTTACGCTTATCATTAAAAGCGTCATGAGTTTCCATTTCCTATTCCCCGGGAGCAATGCTCCACTAAAAGGAGCCACTGGGCTGTAACACAGTTGATCACAGGTGAACTATGTTACAAATAATTAAGAAACCAGTCGGATCCCCAGGTTTCGCAGGGGGAACTTCCTTCTGCAGAGAGTGGGTATTTCCCCTGACATTTTCAACCAAGGGCCACTCGGATCGCTCGGCTCTGCTTCACTTGACACGTTTTTTTCTTCTTGAAATTCTGGATCTGGATTTAACCGCTTCATTCACCCTATACCCCCCCCCCTCCACACCGAATCTTGAACTTCTGCAGGTTTTGTAGCGAGCGCCGCCCATTTATAGCATGCGCCCACTGCGTCTCCCTCAGTTCATGCGCTTACCCATTTCCTATCAATTCCCTCTTTTCCGCTCTCCCGGCTTATCTAGAACCCGGTTAAGAATGTTTGAAATAAGTGGTTCCTGGCTGAGCGCACATTCCACCTATAGTGGGCGGAGCTTAGCTCAGTTCATGTATATTCCGTGCCACTCTTGACCCGATCCTTCAAGTTATGCCTTATTTCCGGACACACAGACAGACAGACAGGCAGGCAGACGTTGAATTTTTAGGTAGTACGGTGGCTGAAATTTTTCGCTTCGCACGCTAAACATGGAGATAGAGAGTAAATGAAAAACGATAATTCGGACTACTGGTTATCAAGAACAGAACTGAAAAATGATCTACTGAATACATACTGAGCTCCTTACCGTACATCTCGTAGTTTGATCTTGTCAGTACCCTGCCAGGGTTCGTAGTTGGATCTATCCTCAGTTGACACATGACACATTTGCTGTCTTGAGAAGCGTTAGCTGTAAAAATCTTTCATAAAAATAAAAAGGCGTGTCAAGACATGCACGAATTTCTTCTCAATGAATAGAGAACTTCAAATCGACCCAAAATGCCTTCTAGCTGTTTGGAACTCGAGTTATAACGGCAACATTTCCCAATCCCATGTAAGTAGTACCAACTTAAGACTTCTGAAGAAAAAGACTCACACTGAGTTTCAGTAAGAGCATCCTGTGGAACCAGTTGATACATCGCTAATTCCTCTGCAGATGGCATAACAGGCGGCTTAAAAAATTCTTATAAAATCTCACTCCAAAAAACACAAAGTACCACGGTAGACCGAGAAGTACTTGAATAAGACCCTACCTTATACGTTTTTGCAAGCTTTCTTTTTCTCTTCGGAATGACAGCTTTGAAGTTTTCCCTCTTCTTACACAAATAGTAGTACAATACGCAATCTTTCACAGTCTGAATGTGAATGTAAGGAAAAAAGCGAAGATTACTAGATTGTATATCATGAGTAAATAAAAGATAAAGGCATCACAATCTAATTTTTACTTTGTTTTCCAGGAACATGGCAATGTTGGCATAGTTTTTACCAACGGCGGATAACCTTTCTCGAAACAACTTCTTTTCATCGTCCGACCAAGAAGATAGAAATGTTTCAATCCTGGAGCGAGAACTCATTTAAATCCATTCACGTTGTCAGAAATGAAGTGTTGAGAAAGTAGTGATCACTTTACAAACCAATTTCTATTTTCTTCTGCCGCATTCTTAATAATCGCATGCTCGTTATCAAAAAATCTAGGTCTAATTGAGGACTCATGTATAATCAGAGGTGGGATGGCTGCAGCATTCCTCATTTTATATTCTTCATCGACCTGGCCCTAGAACAGATGATAAGCCGAAAAGCACCACATAAAAAGCACAAAGGACAAATTTCAAAAGTCACCTTTTCACTTGGTGCGGGCTGTTCATCTAAGGTATCTTGACCCCGTAAGCTTATTCGATCGGTCCGGCAAGACCGTTCTTTTTCTTCGCGAGTTCTTTTCATTTCAGGGAAGGCCCTCTCGAATATTTCACGATTTTTCAAATCACGAGCACTACAAAAAGACACTTTAATGACAGGAACATTCAAATAAAGAATATTTTGAAAAAGAAACGGACACTTTCTTAGGACTATTTTCCCACCGCTCCAGTTTTCTCAAGTAATCCCGCATGCATGAATTGTAGGTCTCATCATTATATCTAAAACATTTCTTTATAAATATGCTATTGCGTAATTCGCAGAATACAAATTTAAATGTGAATCAATCACAATGCAGGAAGGGAAAAAGGAATGTTTGGAAGAAAAGAGTGCGAGAGAGGATACGAAACGAAGGAGTGATTATGCCATAGGAACCACGATTAGATGGAGGAAAAGAAGCCAGAAGAAGAAGGAAAAAGAAACTAGTAAAATAACAGAAAGCCCGGGAATACGCTAAGAAAAATAGGGAATTGAAGCTGGAGAAGTGGAGAGAAGCTGGATCAGAGGAAGGATATGCCAGATATATCTAGTGCGAGAACAAAGAAGAGAAACGGCCTAAATGGGCTCCACATAGGAACTGTAAGGCTCTGACATCATTATCGTTCCTGTCAGTGCTACATAATGGGAACCTTCATTTAGTACCCCATCAGTTTCATTTTGAGAGCCGAACCGAAAAGCAGCCCGTTTGTAAGTAGAAGTGGTCAAAATTCGAAGAATGGCATCTGATATATTAAAAAAATTACCTATAGTCATTCAATTTCACTCGCTGCATAAATAAGTCGTCTGCCTGAGCTCGGCTTCGGACAGCCAAATTCATGTTTGGCTATAAGGTAGACGCATCAAATAGAGGGAAAACGACTAAAAAGGAGAAATGAAAGTACCTTCTGTCTCTTTAACAATTCGCGCCCATGGCCAGGTGCATTGCATAGCTTCATAGAAACATGAAATTAATGATACGGAAAAGTAGAGAAAGACTGCAAAGAAAACCCACCGCCTCTTGTGCTGGCCTTTTAGCATTAATCGCGCTTGGATTGGCAGATTCCGCTTATTTTCAGCGATAATCACGCTGCCAAGGGATATTTTTCCCCTCGTCGACCTGAGAATTACATATTGGAAAGAGCTGTCAGCGCAATAAAAAATGGTGAGCAATATGAAGCAGTATGGTGAGAGAAAAAAGAGGTCATAGAAACCATGATCGGTCAATAACAGCAATAAAACGGTGAAGTAAAATTCAATATTACACTCTCCATTTGTCACATCTTCACTTTGCTCCGACTCTTTCTTCACATTCTAAAGGAAAGTGATAATACAACTTAAAGCCCCACTTCCCAAAGAGACAGTGCGGTACTACCTTAAGACGTTCTTCTTCGTTTCGGTGAGAGCCTCGACTTGCTGATCTGCTTCGTTTTCGATCTTTCTCGATGATTCCAAGCGATCCGAAGTGGCCTTCTTCTCTGCCTGCCTGAAACTTTTACTGGTTTTTGAATGACGCGTGGTAACAAACAAACCTTTCATTTGAAGCATTCGTCCAGTTTGTGGTTGAACGATGCAATTTTTTTTCTTTATTTCAGCAGGGGATAACAAATAGTGATCTTTAGAAACTAATGTCACCGATTGTGACCATCTCAGCTGATAAACAATTCAGCTGGGGGGGGGGATTTTTCTAATAAAGTATAATGTCACACAGAGGCCGAACTATATTTGCAACTGGTTCCCGCTGATCACTGGGATAAAAGAGGAACAAAACGAAAGAAGAACAATCGTCTGCACTCTACTACCGAGTTATTGATCGTTATACACTAAAACTGTCAGGCCCATAGAATTTTTGTTAATAAGAGCCACCGACATGACCACTACTTCAACTTCCCTGCACAGGCAATTATGTTTAGGCGCCATTTATGAGGAACAACTCCAGAACTCTCAATATATGCCACTTTGAAGGACTTAGTCAGCCAGGTGTGAGCGCAGCGGGAACGATCACATAATGTTATTTGTTAACAAGCTGGCCTTGCACACCGTAAAGAGGCTAAGCACCCAATCAACTGCATGCCAGCAAGACTGAGAAGGGAAAGACAAGTGCGTGGCTCAGACAGCAACAATACGCGTTGTTCTTTTTGATTCCACAACATTGCCAGAATATATCTGCCTTCAGAAAAACACGGGACACCCCTCGCCTCACAATATAATGACTGGCTTCTCATAACTTCTTTTTGTAAATATTCAATGAACGTTAACACACAGTTGCGAAAAATTACGTGGGCATGGCATTTGGCTTCGTTTTCATACGGTGAGTAATTAATTAACACATTCTTTTAATACATATTTGTTGGCTTATATTGGTTTTTAGGAAGAAATTTCATTTTCAAAATTATTCAAAAAACTGCCCAAGTCGTGACGCGGTCGCACGGTAAGCAAAGAGTGACTGAAGAAAGCAGCAATCCTTGAAGGCTCGAATTCCTGTGAGAATTGCCCAGAAGGTTGTAAGGGAATGGGAGGGGGAGGACAGTACAGCCAAATCTCAGAGTGGACTGCCACCACCGCTGATGTGGACGAAAATTAAGAAAGAACTGACTAAAGTGTGATCTCTTTGTACCAAAACTTTGAAGTTATCGTTGTTCAACGACAAGGTCTTACCGATCAAGCAAATTCGGAAGGAAAAACGCAAGAAATTTATAAAAACGCTAGTGGCGCGAAATGAGGACCTCTGGTCTTATAGAAAATTTTCATCGTTAAAGTAGCTAAAAACACAGAAGCACCGTCAACTTCTAAGCCAAGTTCCTAAAGATAATGGCAAGAAAAAAAAATTGCGACAAGAAGGTGTTTTTCAAAAGCTCAATGTTTGAGGCAGTGCTTGAGCAATATACTTCGCTCTTAGCGATAAAAACGCGAACGTTCATGCAAAGTTCAACAATGAGAGGTCTTCAAGATAGCCGGAGCCTGGAAGCGAGCACATCCTAATTTATTCTTGAAAAGACTGGCCTCCAGTCATGTAGCCAAAACAACGATCCGAACCTGGAGACACGAAACAGCTCTTTTTGACGAAGGATTGTGGTCTGCGAACAGCCCGGATCCTTTGAACTCCCAGTTCGAGTAACCAAGGAATGGCAACTTACAAGTTGAAGAGTAAAAAATCTGGTGAAGACAACTGGCTCAACTTTTGGAACGATGTAAACGTCTACCTGCGCCTCATCATCGTTCCATAAAGAAGCGAATTAATGTTGTTATCGAAGCTGATAGCTGTCACTTCGGAAATTCTTGGTGATTATAAAGTTGTGGCTTGCTGTTATATCAGAATAAATTTTCTGAACATTCGTTAATAAATAGAATTAACCTTTTTTTATAGGCGCCCGTATTTTTTTCGCCATCATATATGTATTATTAAAAACTGCGAGATCGGTACCAGTTTATCCGCTTCCTACTGCGCCATTTTTTTTATGTTGTGTGACTACTATGGCCGAAGACACGATCACGAACCACAGAAGAAGATTTTCGTGCCCTTAGGAAAGGATTGGATGAACTAAGTCTTCCATGCAAAAAAACGGATTTTCGCTTTTCGCGCATAGTAGGCTAGCTACGGGCTCGGCACCTTTTTCCTCCTTTCCTAGGTAGCACTTTTCCTATCAACTTTCTATGCAGCCTATCTTCTTTATTTGTTGATGGCATGATGTCAACGGAAAAAAGTCAGTTCAATTCTAGTTGTGTGAGCTTTACAGGAATTTAGATTATTTCACAATATCATCCGTTATATCAAGAAAAATTTACCGAATCCCCTCCATCTTTGAGCGGATTTTGCGTGTTACTAAGGAAAAATTTTTGTGTGAAACGTTGCCATAAGATCTATCGAAACAAATATAATCTGTATAAATCTCATGAAGGACTGGGCCGTCATCGATAAACCGGATAGAAAAAAAGATAATAAATTAGAACCGAAATCAAAGAAATGTGGCAGAATTCCAACAATGACAAGAATTCAGTAGGAATGCCTCGTTCTTTGGAACCTGGTAGGTAAATGATCTCGACAGCAATAGTGACACATCGCCTCAAATTTACCAGGTTCGCGGCCAAATTCGGCCTGTTTACAAGAGTATGCATCATTTCATCTAACTCCATTACTTGTAGCGATCCTCTAATGCCCAACCACAAAAATTAACGCTCGATGGTTGAATATTCAAATACTTCCGATCCTATTCCTTACAACTTCTCCCGCCTTCAAGGAACAGTCTCGTTATATTTTAACATTCATTCCACGAATATCTAATTCAAAAATTCCATTTAGCATGCCGCATTGCAAGAGGTAAAATTACAGAAGACAAGAGTGAGCCCTTCTGCTTTGACGAATTATATTCCTGCAATTTCAGTCTTGAGAGATAATTGTCGCCTCTTGAAATTAAATTATAATCAAGAAAAGCATTCAGTGGAGTTCATTATCGAAATGGTCCAAACACAGAAGCAGAAATCCAATATCTAGCCCACTTTTACAAATTAAAATTTTACAACTTTCAAGACACAAATGAATTTTCCTTCTATTCACTCCTAAACATTTTCAATACAGTCACCAGTATTTGCATTTGACAAAGGTTGTTGCTATTTTTATGATTTCACCCCAATTCGTATTCCTTAAAAAGTATCATGAAAACACTACGTCGATACAACACCATCAATACTATTACTGAAAGAATAAATATTTCCGAGACAAAAGCTGACAGAACACTGGCATCTAATAAACTATTTTCAAAAACTTGGATTGCAAGAAAATCTAAAAGCCGCGTCTAGCCTTGTGTTGTTCGAAAAAGATTTTGTTGAAGACACCCCCCCCCCCGACTGTATTGTAAGTTGTAGCGTTCAATAATGAACTCATAGTCCTAGGTCACTCCCACACGGGAAGAAAAAAAGCAAAAAAAGTCATGGGGAACACCCAACGTAAGGGCTTATCGTCCTCTTCGTACAAGTTCTCCGGACCTGCTTGTTTTCTGCCGGCAAAGCAATATCCTGCCGCTTCTGCCTCACTAAGCGTTTCTTGGCGTCATCCAGTGCTAATGTCACCTAACAACAAAAAAAATGGAAAGCGTGCAAAGCAGCAAAAACTGGACCCATTGACAGAAAATAGCCTTTGGGTTTCGGTGGAAGGGAGAAACAGAGACGCGTCAGAATCGCCACATATGAGGGCCACACCGCCTTCATGACTTACAGAGAAGCCGCAAGAAGGGACAACCTCAAACTGAGAACCAGAATACATGGACAAGGGAGGACGCCTACGAATTGCTTGAGCGCGGGAATGTCGTTAAGAAGCAATTAACTGTGCTGGGCATTATAATTCTATAAACGCTGAATATTACAGCACATAGAATAAAACACAAAAACCCAACCTCTTCAAGCTCTCTATCCGAAAGCGTTGCCGATCCTCCAGGAGAAGGGTCTACCTTGATTCCAGCAAAAGTTCCACTTGTGTCGACATCAAGGTGGTTGCTTTCATCTAAACAATAGCAACTGATAAAGATGAGTAGGGACCCTAAAATCCAAGAATTAATTTACAAATAAATTTATTAAAAGCAACCTCTGCTGGTCCCTTGTTGATGGCTCAAGTGGGGTGGGAAGAAATTTGACATCAAGGACGGCCGTCGGTGAAAATCGTCACGCATCGCCTGAACACACTACCTACTTCTGCGTGCTTTCTTTTGGAACAACTTATAGAATTAGAAAGAAATAATAAAAACAGTTTAGCGTGACATAACAGTAAATTTATCGGAGACAATTTTTTCAAAACTATCGTTTAACATAAACTTTGCCAAAGCAAAAACACCCTCCCAAAACCGCTTGGAATTTCAGAAAAATCTGAAAAAAAACCTGATTTGATGGTTCAGAATGGGCGTCTTGATGCGGGGCAGTCTGAAGACACGAAATGGTCAAAAACAACAGTAGTGAAGTCGTGGAGAGAAAACTGCTCTTCACTTCTAATGTTTTGGTAACCAACCTGACGATTGATTCCTTGTTGCAGCAGTGAAATCGAGGGTGAATGTTGCTGAGCAGCCAATTGGGCAGCGTGAACAGAAGGCTAAAATCATACAGTAAAACTAACCAACAATCGAACGCTAAACAAGTGCGCTTTTATCTATTTTGAAAGCGAAATAGCACTAGTGCACAACTCACCTGGCTCAAGGAAGCGATGTACTGATTTGTGGGCTGGTGGGAATGTGAGTTCTGACCGGTTAAACTGGCAAAAGCTCTGGAAGCGTCAGATCATTGTTTTGTTACTGATATCACGCAAAAAAAACAAACAAACGTCTGAAGCAGAGTACCTGAATAAATCAAGACCAGGGCGAGGTTGCGGTGCTGCTGGTTCCTGGGCCACGGTTTGGGAGCTTCCACCTCCAGTGGGAAACATTCTGGGGGGTTGTTGGTGAGCAAGGGGCCGTTATGTTCCAGTGTTTGAGCTGTATCAAAAAAACGAGATGAGAAAAAAGGCAAAATCTTACAAACGCGAGTGCATTAGATGATGGTCACGAAATGTTGATTTTGAGCAAAAATCATGCTGTTTGATTCAACTACCCTATGGAACAATCTACTGCACCTATAGCTTAGACCTGGGCACATTAGCTGAGTATGCAATAAATTTGGTCCAACATTGGTCGTATAACGTTTGCTAGCAGCTCAACGGGAAGGGAACAGTATTTCTTGCAAAACATCAAAGTACTGCCCGCTTGAACATGGGAACGAAGATCTGAATCTCCAGACACAAAACAGTCACTGTAGCCAGGTCCCGTTAAAATAGACGGGGAGCAGGCGCGGAGTACCATTTCAACGTGCGCGCAGACGCTGTCGGTCATAAATTTTCTGCTGGAGCGCGCTTGTCATCTCCTTTTCCCTTTTTCCCACGGTACTGCAGAGGGCGACAGTGGTCAAAACACCGTTCTCTTCTTGCTAGAGAACTTCCTTAGATTCGTCCAAGTCAAAGAGGTATGACGCACAATCAGAAACCGCTTCTTAGCCCAACGGTGAAGAATAAATCAATGCAATCCTTTCCTGATACGGGTAGCAAGACACTTAACTCCTTTGTGGGTGCACTTCAGTAAAAAGGGCACTGTCCCCTCAGAAAACTACGTTTTTTCATCGTTGCACCCGTATCGCCCCTGGAAGTCCCCCTTGGCACGTTGCCAACCACATTTGTTTTCATGACGTCATTGCAGGCGGGGCGCGCGGTTGCGTCGCGGCGCCGTTGCATTGCGTTTTTATCACGTGGAATTTGTTTATTTTTAATTGTCGGCACGTTCCATAGGGTCGCCACGCCAGCTTCTGGTCTGGTGTTTGCCTTTGTGGCAGACGGACTGTAGGAGGTCATCCATGTCTACCGGACTACAATCGAAAGTGTCCGACGAGGACCTGGGAAGTGAGTCTGGGCGAGGCTATTTCTTTAAAGAGGAAGATTCATAAAAGAATGGTCTCTTACCTTATTTGCCAAGTGAACTGCTGATAGTGACGGCTAAGGGTGTTCGTTATCGAAAACGCAATCGCCATTTATTGCAGGAGTGATGGGAATTTGCCGATGTCTTAACCTTTCCTTCACAGAAGAACAAGTATTAGCAATTATAGGGGTGAGTCTAGCCTTTTAACCTATGAATTTCCATCTTCTAACCATAAGTGCAATTTGTCGATATTTCTTGCCGCATTACTTGTGTCGCAGCAGATTGATTGGAGCGTAGTATTTCCAGGGTAAGGTCTACCCACTGCTAAGGCCGAGTTGGCGAAACGAAGAAACCGATAGCTAGAGAATTCGCGAACGGGTTGATCTCGCCAATTGTCTAGTTCGGTTCGTAGATTAAGATTCGTACCCTACACTGGGTTCACACTTGCAACATTAGAGAATGGGAGATGCGTGTTGAGGTGGAAATCGAACGACTCCTATTCTCATATTCTCATGTTTTCCTATTCCCCGCTTCTTATGTTCTTCCATTCTGTCAATTCGCCACCGATCGGAATAGATTGATTCGCGTTTGCTTTCTCGGCGCGCGTTTCTCTGGTTCGCGCTTCACTGGTTCTATACTCTCGATTGGTAGGATCGATCCTTATACCTTCATGTGACGCACATTCTTCTGTTCTTCAACTTCGCAAAGTAAACGCGACTTTACTCTTTTCGCTAATCCACCGATTCTACATTTCTTAGCATTAAGTCGGCTGCCGAGTGGTAACTTCCAATGGAGATCATCTCAAGAATACTGTACTCCAGTTTTCTGATTCTCTATTTCTCCAGTTCAGTGCTCATATTTATCACAAGAATGGTCAGTTATGGGAGTCGAACCCGCACCTCACGCTTTCCGGGAGAGTGTGCTATCCGTCATGCCACCCGGGCCACTTTTACCCTCTCAGCTTAACGGCTTTTATGTCGTAGCCTTACAGCACTCACACCTTTAACATGGTGAGTCGGTCAACCGCAATCGATAGGTATTGTTCACAGCCTGCGGACCTGCGTTTCTCTCAAAAGAAGCGCTTCGGCGAAAAGCTTTCGATACGGCTAATTGACGGGCGTTTCGCCGAATCGCGGCGTTTTCCGCCTTCGCGAAGCGCTAGCTCGACCGCCCTGGCGTTTTTCATAAGCAATTAAAATGTTCATATATTCCCTTTGCGGCCCTTCACGTTCTCACAAGGAGCAGTGTATGAATACATTGTTACTGTAATCGCGAAGCTTGAAAGTTGACAGGTGAAGGGCGCCATCTGCTGGACATCGAACGCTCAAAAAATATGCTGAAGTGGAATGGTGAGCGGTCGAGGAGGGTAGTATATGAGCCAAACACTGCGTACAAGTCTGGAATATGTGGTCACCGTGGTCCAAGAACATTACGTAATTCATGAGAGCCAGATCAGAGAGTCTCGAAATGTCTGTCAACTGCTGATCCTCCCTTTTGCTCTTCTTCTATCTTTTCCTTCCACTCCCTTCTTTTTCTACTTCCACCAACTCATCCTAACGAATCGAGCAGTGTTTGGCTCCGCACACTCTGAGCACGGAATGGCTCCGCACCCTCTGAGCTAGAGAACTTCTAGATACGGCGAATTACCACAGTCAGAGCAGAAGGTCAAATTCCGGTAGTTCGCAGAACTTAGGCAGCGTTCAGGCTTCGCGACCACACCTCTTCGATCGCGTTCGACGCGATTCGATGGCATGATTTCTACGACATCGATTGCGCCGAACGCGCGACCGAGTCGCTGGCTGTCGCAAAGTCTGAACGCTGCCTTAGAGCGCATTCAGACTTCGCGATCGCGCGATCGCTGTGATCGCGCGATCCAGATCGCGCGATCGCGCTACTGTGGGTGAAATTATACCAGGGGTCATGTTCGTTCATGTTTATTGTTCCTGTTTTTTTTCCTTTTCCTTCTTTCTTCCTTTGTGTACATAACGCCCTCCTAATTTTAAGGAACGTTTCGAAATATCTTCGAGTTATTTATTATTTCCTATGTAAAATAGTACTAAATATACAATATGCTAATTATTATACTGAATTTTTTTATTATACTGCATCTGAGTACGTTCAAGCGGAGTATTGAACGTCTTGTTCCAAAAGTAAGACACGCAGAACTTTCAACAGCGGATGATGTTGTTTCTCTCCCTTCCTCCGATTTTGTCAGTCCTCCAGATATTCACTTTACTTTTGTCACATTGTGTTTGCTTTGTTTGTTCTGCCGTCCTCCAGGTCTATACCAACCTTTCCTTTCGACGGTTTCTGCAAATCGTCAGTACTGCGAATATGAACACGGCCTAAAAGACATCAAAAAGGTCGAACTTACTTTTATATCGTTTTTGGAACTGCATTGGGGGAGAATACAGCATCGTGCTGTGAGAAATGGTGATATCAGTACGACTCCCTTCCCAGAACTTTGTTGTTGCTGTTTGTTTAGTTGAGTTGAACATGAACGAACATGACCCCTCCTGGTGTAATTTCACCCACAGTAGCGCCATCGCGCGATCGCGAAGTCTGAACGCGCTCTTAGTCGTTTAGAACTCAAAGGCAGTGGGCGATGGCTGAGGGCGGGCAACTGTCGCTAACATTGTTGGAATGGCTGTGAAGCCAGGTTCACCAGCCTCAACCAACGATGTTTTCGACAACCGCCCACCTCCAGTTCGTGCCCACTGCTTTTAAGCAGATATGACGAGCTGACGATAGAGCTTCTCTGTCGTCGCGATTAGGTTTCTGCCTTAGTGTCTCCGTACTGCATACGCCGTATTTCCGATAGGTTGCATGATATGAACTGCCAAGGTGCTCGCCGTTCGCTGACGTTGCATTGAGAACAACCTGCCCACCCCTTCATGAATTATGGAATCATGCGGCTTTACAGGTGGCAGTGTCAACGTCGTCTGTATTGATTACGGTGATTTTACTTCATCGCACAGGTACAGCTTTCTACGCCGTGCTTTTTCCACCATTTCTCTGAACTTTTTGCATCAAAAAGCAGAGAAAACGGAATTCCTGAAAGACGTGATCACTACCTGTACATGTCTGCCTTCTGGCTTCGTCGCCGCATTACAAAAGGCCTACATGCTTTGATATCTGATCATTGTACGCATTGAAGTTGCTTATTTCAATTCTGCCGTGTACGGATAGACCTGAGGCTATCCTTGCTCTTTGCTTAGAATTGTGTACAATTTTCATGTAACAGTTTGCAGAAGAGGTTTACTAAATTCATTGAAGTAAGCATGAAGCATAAAGCCCTGCGCTGTTGCCTTATGCAACCATCGGGTCATCGCTTGAAAAGGTGGGACGATTTTGTGTGAACCCATGCTACTCACGCTCTGAATTTCCCGAGGGTGTACGCTTGGATACACTGACTGGCGTTCAGATCGCCACTCATCAGGGAGTGATGTACTCGTTGTTTGAAAAAGCGTTATCATCTGCTTCTAACACATCTGTTGATTGTAGGTTGTGTTTGAGGCCAGCAACAAACCATAAAAGACGTCTGCGTGCATAATCCTGCATACAAAAATTCTGTTTTCTCTTTCTGCTCTTATTCTATTCTTTAATTCTATTCTGCTGTATTCTGTGAAATATGGGAGGATGAAATGACGTGTGTACCTCCCGATTTCTTCAAACCCCTTATTTGAAGTGCTGCACATATTTGCTTTGCTTCGCAATCCTACATTCGAAGTTACACAGACGTTTTGAAAGGTTAGTTTTCATGATCGACATATATCTTCAGAGGCGGGCGACGTACTGGGTTCTACTATCTCAACGGCTGAGGGGTCGCTTTGTTTTTGTAAGGTCGAGCGTTCGATTTGCTATGAACGTACATTGCCCATGGGTAACCCATCTTAGCCATTTTCAACTGCACCCTACACCGTCCGAGGGATAAGAAGTGTAGCTCTCAAGGCACAATGGTGGTAACTGCGTCAAATATCCC